ACCTTTTAAAAGTAGGCTTTGTAAGTAAAACAACTTCCAAACAGTTTTCTGAAAAAAAAAACACACACACAAAAGAATCTCTCCTTTGGGGAAGGAGAGAAGTAAAATTTCCTGACCCTTCTCATTCCCAAACGGCTTGCCTAGAAAGAATTCAAATCATTTATACATGAGTAATAAAGAAATGGCAAAGGCAACATTGAATCCAGACAATACAATGAGAAGAGAGGGAGGGAGGAAGGGAAAGTTGAAATTGGAATATACAATTACAAAAACGTAAATCTCCTAGACAGAGACTAGAGAATTTCTCTCTTGGAAAACTGCTTTCCCAAACAAAACAACCTGACTCTGGTCCAATCACTTGATAGCACAGCCCATCAGTCAATCAGCTATTCCCAAGCACACAGAGTTGCTTCCAATCAGTATTTTAATGGTCAACTCTTAAATAGAAAAAGGTAGGCAAGGTCAGAAGACTTCTGAAGAAAGCTACCTGTATAAAAGAAACAAACTAAAACACACACACACAAAAAGAAATTGCAAGACAATAAAAGGGAACAAAAGTAGCCTTCAAAGGAAATTATAATAATCCTCAGAAAAAACATATGAGTAAATTTTTCACAAGCAAAGTGAATTTCAGATTTAATAGACTCACTGCATATAATACAATGAAAAATCCCATATTAAGGTACACAATCATACAATTTTCAGAATACACAAGTAAAATAAGAATCTAACATCATCAGAAATGACTACAGAAGTAATCATGCACAAAGTATCAGGACTCAGAAATCAAGCTTCTCAACACCATCACTAGAATTTCATATATAATCAGGCAATAAAGTTCTGGATTAAAAGTATTTCCAACCTAAAACTTTAATGTTAAACTATCAGTCAAGCATAAAGGTAAATCTCGCAAATGTACTTTCTCAGTAAGCTGCAGAAAGATAGGGTCCACCAAAGAAGGGTGGGGGCCAAGGAGTCAAGATAGCAAAAAACATGGGATCCAGGGAAATCGAATGTGACCCAGGAAAGAGGGAGGAGAGCCTTAGAGAGGAGCCAGTTTATACTGGAGCAAGTAGACAGAGAATTCAAAAATAAGGCTTTTTTTAAAAAGAAATTTATCACCTATGTGTTAGAAACTGAATGGGTATGTGTGCTTCTGGTAGAGGGTTTGGGAATGAATTAGCAATGGGAACACAGAAGATAGAAGATCAAGAAAACAGAACAAGGCACTCCAGTAAAAACAAAATAGAAGGCTGAATAACAGAGGAAATGAAACTGTAATGTTATATGGCTGAAATGAGAATGACAGATACAGTGCCATGATCTAACAGTGAATACAGATTTTTAAGAAAAAAGTGTGATAACTATCAAGCAAGTGGGAAGGGAAGAAGTGTGAGTCAGGTGCGTAAAAGACAGGGAAGAGCTAAATATGTATCTTCTACACTAGGAAGTCAAAAGATGAGTCAGAGAAAGGGGACTATTTTCTATTATAAGCCATTTAGTTACGATTTGACATCCTAAAATCAGGTAATGTGAATTTTTCTTTCACTAAAATTTGGAAAGAATTAGGTTATATCAGTTGCATAGAAGGCCTTCCATGACTATTAACTAAAAGCAAGATGCCCTATAACATGAAAAGAAACATGTCTAAATACAAATTTTTTTTTTTTTTTAGAGACAGAGTCTCACTTTATCCCCCTCGGTAGATTGCCCTGGGCTCAGGCGATTCTCTTGCCTCAGCCTCCTGAGTAGTTGGGACTGTAGGTGTCTGCCACAACACCCAATTACTTTTTCTTGCAGTTTGGCTGGGGTGAGGTTTGAACCCGCCACCCTCAGTATATGGGGCCAGCATCCTATCCACTGAGCCACAGGTGCTGCCCAAAATACAACTTTAAGAGCATTAAAAAATGTTTGGAAGGGCAAGTTAGCAAACAGAAGTGCAGGTATTTATAATGGAAGACCATACACATATAATATGGCAGTGGAATATAATCACGTATGTGGGAATATACACAGAGATCTAAATCAGACTTTCAATGGTGGCTAAATCTGGGGACCAAGATTTCAGATTATTTCTTCCTTTTTACCGCTACTTAAAAATTTTGCAATAAGCATATTTACATACATTCACTAGCCTCTTCCTGTAATAAAAAAACCTATTTTCATGAAAAAGCATATAAAAGAGCTACAAAAAAGACTTGTTTTCGAGAAGAAGGTAAGCAGTCAATCAACATTCTTCATAACGTGCTTTCATTTCATCGGCCTAGACATTCACAGACCTAACGCTAAGGAAAGTCCTGGCTTTTAGTTGGCAGTTACTTCAGCACAGCATCTTGAAGATGCTACCACAAAATATAGAATCTTTAATATGCTACAGACCTAAATGTTCACTTGTTCACAAAAACTGGCTTTGTTTATACTTCCAATAACATGTTTATCCTGATTACAGTGATGTATCCAAATAGACATGTTAAGAAGTATAGATTATGGGCGGTGCCTGTGGCTCAAAGGAGTGGGTGCCGGCCCCATATGCCGGAAGTGGCAGGTTCAAACCCAGCTCCAGCCAAAAACTGCAAAAAAGAGAAAAAAGAAAAGGAAGTATCAATTATTTTTAGCTATTTGTCTTTTTTGACTATTTTAAGTACATACACAAAGTTCAGAAGGAAAAAGAAAAATTAGCTTTTTCTGGGGCTTTAAGAGAAATTCCAAGAACTTTTAAGAATCTTAAAGTTTTATCTTAAACCAATACATTTAAATGTCTATGAAAGATAAGTGCATCTTGACAATATTAAAAGCATCTCTTTTAAACTTAACTTCTTTCTTTCAAAAAATGCACCCAAAAACATAAGATGTACGTGGGAATTACATTTGCTTCAACCTGATGAACTCTGACTCTCAAGCTACCCTCATATCTTAGAAACTACCTCGCACTGGATTTTTCACTTGAGGCCAGGCTTCAATGAGCCAGCAGCTCCATTGACTATAAAATGTTTTACCTCATCTACTAATTTCTGAGAAGAGAAATGATAAAACTACTGCCTGATGCCCCTACTCCCTCTTCCTTAAGCTAGCCAGCCTTAAAAGTTGTAGTAACTCAAATTCAGAGACTCTAGAAAATTACTAGTAATTCAAATTCACAGAAAATAGAATGGTGCTTGCCAGGGGCCGGGAAAAGGAAGACATGGGGCGTCACTGTCAAGGAGTACAGAGTTTTCCGTTTGGGAAGGTGAAAAAATTCTGGAGGTGAATGGTGAGCAACTTGATTGTACTTAACATGGATAGCATTAATATAAGAGTACATGTGGGCTCGGCGCCTACAGCTCAACTGGCTAAGGCGCCAGCCACGTACACCTAAGGTGGTGGGTTCGAATCCCCAGCCCGGACCCGCCAAA